TTCTGTTTTCTCCTTGGCCTCTGACCACATTTGAGCCTATGATCCCTGAATCCAGATCGAGCATAATTAACAGCACACCAAGGTAAACCTAGTTGGTGGAAATGTGAAATAGGGCATTATGTTCTACTATTAGCTATTTTCAGTGCCTTACCAATAAAAATCCATTTGGGGTTTTTAGGTTAACTAGTTATATCAAAGGTCTGCCAACTACCACCAGTGAGACAAACCCAACCTGCTGCCTATTTTTGTTTGCCCCCGCCCCCAGCTGAGCTGAGAATGATTTTTCTATTTTTAAATAGTTGAAAAATTCAAAAGAAGAATATTTCATGACATATGAAAATTAACTGAAACTCATGTATCAATGTCAATAAATAAAGTTGTATTAGACCACAACCACTTTCATTTCATGTACATATTATCTATGGTTGCTTTTTCATGACAATGGCAGTTAAGTAATTTCCACAGAAACTGTATGGCCTGCAAAGCCTAAAATATGACCCTTTACATGGGGTGCGTGGGTGGCTCAGTCAGTTGAGTGTCCGACATTGGCTCAGGTCATCATCTAGAGGGTTGGGGGTTTGAGCCCCGCATTGGGCTCTGTGCTGACAGCTCGGAGCCTGGAGCCTGCTTTGGATTCCGTGTCTCTCCCTCTCTCTGTCCTACCCCACTCATGATCTCTTTCTCTCTCTCTCTTCTCTCTCCCTCTCTCTCTCAAAAATAAATAAGCATTAAAAAAATTTTTAGGGGCGCTGGGTGGCTCAGTCGGTTGGGCGTCCGACTTCAGCTCAAGTCATGATCTCACAGTTCCTGAGTTCGAGCCCCACACCAGGCTTTGTGCTGACAACTCAGAGCCTGGAGTCTGCTTCAGAATCTGTGTCTCCCTCTCTCTCAGCCCCTCCCCCACTCTCACTCTGTCTCTCTCTCAAAAATAATGAGCATTAAAAATTTTTTTAAATAATTTTTTTTCAAATATGGCCCTTTATAGAAGAGATCTTCTGACCCCTGAGCTATATCAAAGAAAATTTAAAGCTGCCAATTAACTTCTAAAAGTCACAAATATTTGTGTGGAGTTGCTCGCACCCTACATGTCACGCTCAGATGAATCTTCCTAAAGCACAGCTCAAACCATGCCTCTCTCCTACCAAAAACATCTTTATGCTATCTACAAAGGAAAATCTGAAGTACTTAATAGGTTCCTGCACAGTCAAGTCCTCAACCTTCTATTCCAACCTCATCTCCCAAAACTCCTTCCTGCACCCTACATATTACAGATGACTTGAATTATCTGCTGGCCCTTTACATTCTTTATATCATTCCTACTACAAGAAATCCTTGCCCTGAATACAGTCCAACACAGCAAAATAAGCAGGGCCTTTAGAGTCAGGTCTGGGTTCTAATTCAGACTTTTGCCCCTTTTAGTTGAGAAAGTTACTTAATACCTCAGAACTTCAGTTTTTCTCATCTATAAAATGGGAATATAATCCTTACCTCATAAGCTGTTATGATATTTTAATGCCTGGCACATGGGAACAGTTAAACAAGCAATAAGTGTTATTAATTCTGCCCAATTCCAATGCTACTTCCTCCTTTACTTTTCCTTGTCCTCCCACCAAGAAATAAGCTCTCCTGCTAGTGTCATGTGCCACAGTAGCCACCTGTTCCACTCTTATGACTCTGATCCATATCTATGATATACATGATAGTGAACTCTACCCATGTCTTGTCTCTCCTACTAGTCTAGGAACTCTCTCATGGCAGGATCCATCTATGACTTACTCTGCCACACCTGTGATAGCCCTGAGAACACTGGCTTGAATACAGTATGGGCACAAGTATTTACTGAATGAATGGTATGTGTTCAGTGAACTATATATAGCATTTATTAAGTGTATTATATTGCACTGTGATATAAGAAAGAGCCACATCACTTGTTCTGAATAATACCTAGTGTGAGTGCTTAGAAAATATTCAAACATCAGGGACCAAACTCCCAACAGAAAAACAAAGGACAAACAGAAAAGCAGGAAATACATTCACCTTTCAGTGATGATGTTTTTATTTTCCATTAGTTTATGTTATAATCATCATCTTGTACTCCAACAATTATAAATGGATCACATTTAAGGGGGGGAAATAAACCACTTCCCCAAGGGAGAAACGGTATTATTCATAACATCAATGACCTATGAGTACAAAAGTAAATGTAAATATTCAAAAGGGACCTACATTTAATGAATAAATCATCACAAACAGTTGTGACTAAAACCTCATCTGGAGCTCTGTACAAAATCAGACACAAGCAGAATAAACATAGAAATCAAGTTCCACCCAGGTTAACAACTCTAACAAAAACTGCAACTAGTTTTTGCAGCACAATGCACCAAGTTTCATTGGTTCTTAGGAACACTAGCCATTTGATTTGATAGTCAGTTTAGTAAGTTAAATATAAAGGTGTCTATAATTCTTCATGACTTTAATGCCAGACTCCAACTGCCAAAACAAATCCCCACATATGAATACAAAATTAACTGCTGACATATGCCAATAAATGAAGGGAGTGACATTTTCCAATAAGATGACAGCAAAAAATATGCTTCCAACTACTTCTGCTTATGCATTTCCCTTCAGAAACCTCATTAAAAATACACATTCACCAGCAGATACATTATTAGCCTAAAGACATGTTATCAACAACTTCCAATGCTTAGCTGTTTCCATTTACAAAACACTTTCATAATCTATTTACTCCCTTGAGTCTCACCACAACCCTGTGAGGTGGGTATAATTCCCCCCATTTAACAGATAAAGTCAGCAATTTGTACCATCTTATCCCAAGATGGTGAAGCCAGGTCTTCTAACTCCAGCTCCGGTGTTCTCTTTTCCTATTTCCTCCACACAAAGCAAAAGCATACCTTTGTTTTGCTTCCCCACTTATTCTCAGAAAGCTAGCACAGTGTGAGGAAGTAGAGTGGGAGTATCAACATTACTGTGGTCAAGACAGCAGGAAACATCCCGCTTGTGCCTCTACCTAATCATGTTTTTAGAATTGTGCAACTTAAAGGAAAGAAATGGAGTGTGGGTTAGCTGCTTTGTTTTATTTCCTACCTGTCCTATTTTGGCTTTCTATGTATATTCACAAACAGAAAACCACCCTGAATATCCAGAAGCCCCATGGGCTAAAATGATTTCTTGGATCTTCTACCCATCTGTAAAAGTTTAGGCCTGCATAATTATTGACTCTTACCACTCTTAGTCTCAGAAAAGAAGGAAGGAATAAAAACCATGACTTGCCCGAAGCTTACAAAAATTTGCCCTTCCTCAAATGTTTTATTGCACTGTTTATTTTTTCTTAAAAATCTGAATCTCTCTGCTGTGCCTTAGCAGGTCACTTTTTAGCACAAACACTTTCTGCTTAGCATACACTTCTCAAAACCATCCACTTCCTGGGGCTTATGACAAGCTATATTTGACTGCAGAGGCTACACCAAGCAGTTTATCACAGTAAGTAATTGTTTTTAATCCAAATATTCTCCTCTTTCCTTTTTAATGAGCCCTCAACCTTTCTAACTACTTTTGTGGTATAACCTGCATACCTTTAACCTCTCAATAAATTTGATTAAGTGGCAACATACTCCAAAAGCTGGCCTAGAAGTCTCTAAGGATCAGTATTTCAAAATTCCCCATCTTTAAGGTGCTGCCAAGAGTGTGCTCTTATTTAGACCACAATAGTACAAAGCGTTAAATAATCAAGCTCAATCAAGTGACTGGCAGGAACTTGGACAATTCATATATTCTGACCAAATGTGCAGACAACACCAGCAGTGAAAGCGGACTCCCAGGAGCAAATCAGTAAGAGCTGCATAAAAAAGCAGTAACCACTGCCTTTCTCCCTGTTCTTCATTGGCTGTATTTGCCTCAAAGGAGGTCACCACACTGGACTTAGACACAGTCTTTTGGGGATAAATCCATTCAGAAAAAAGTTATAAATATATAGGACATATTTACAAGTAACTCTGACCAGTGACTTTATTTTTCGCAGTCATTTTTCAGCCAAGAAGGGAAAAAATGATCACTCCACCCAATCACTGCCCCCCATTCTTCTGGGTACACTCTGGCACAAAAGGCTAGCTTGCTTGCACTCCTGTCAGGAATGTTTATTATTCTTTCTCTTACTCTAAGTCTTCTGCCAACTAGCAGAAATAAAAACTCAACAAGTAGGGAAAGGGGGTAGGGTCCCACAGCTGTCAGCTGTGACCACTGGGAAAGCTAAGTTAGGTGAGATTCCTGCAGACCAGTGGCTCTTAACCCTGGCCCTATAATATGCTCCCTGGGGGGGCTGGGATCCTTGTGTCAGGTGCTAGGCCGGTCTTTATTTCACCCCCAAGCAAAATGCAGTGGAATGTGAGGCCGTCCAATAATTCTGAGCTTAGACTGACTTTGACCAAAACCTTAGCTCAGTAACTTAAAAAAAAAAAAATCACTGGGGCAAAGGTGCTTTCCTTAGAAAACAAGTTGAGACAGGGAATTTTTTTCTGCCCCCATCTGTATCTGTAGCGACTACAGGCTGGGACAAATCATTACTCAAGCTGCCGGCCTCAATCCCCTCCTCTCTAGGAGGTGCTAGGGGCAGTTCCTTGGTCAGCTTGGATGTCTCCTTACCCAAACATGAGCACTAAACATGTCTGACAGTACAGGCAAATTGCCCCCTCGGAACAACCTGCCAAGTAAGAATAGGTGCAGAGTAAGAGATTCCTTGGCACAGGTACAGATCCTGTCTTATAAGGTCAAGGCCACTAAAGGGAAAGGCCCAAAGTTCTAGTTACAGCCACCACCTTCCACTTCTACTGACCCCACTGCCGAAGTGTTCAGAAACCCATTCGCCTAAGAGAACAGGATTGGGAATCACCCTGAATTTTCCCTTTCCCTGTAGTGTCGAAGAGCTTAAAGGCCAGAGTCACTGGCTCAAGGAAACGGCTCATCCATCGAAGCCTTCCACTTACTTCTCATTGCGCTGATAAGCGCGTTGCCATCTTTGATCACGTCCTTAATGAATTTATTGGTCCTCTCCAGCTCCAGCTCATAACACTTGAGCCTCTCGCGGAAATCAGGGCTGTCCAGGTAGCAGTCGCTGAACTCCAGCGGGGGATGCCCCATGGTTCTGATGGCGAGGGTTGAAAGAGAAGAAAGACACAAAGACCAAGAGCATCAGCGACACAGTAGAGGGGAGTAGATGGGAAGGATTGAGTGTGGGTCCCGCCTGGGAAATTCTTAGCCTCCCTCCCTTTGGAGGACAGGTACCTGTTCGGTTGAGATTCCCGGGTAGAGCCGGCTGGCCTGTACCGGAAGCGGGAGGCCAGCAATTGCTTCAGGTGACACGCAAAGCAAACTAATGCGGTCCGACCCGGGCTGGGTTCTTCTGCCTAGCAAGCAGCATGCCCCCAAGGCATTGCCTCCCCAGACAGGCGGCCCAGCTTGCCCCCGGAGAGCAGCGGGATCCTTCCAGAGCAACTGCAAACGTGACACTTCTGCCCGCCCAGGGTGTAGGCTGTGGTGAGCGCTGGGGCTGGAACTCTCCTCTCCTCGCTCCTTGTTCCCGAGCTAGCTGAAGATTTCCTTTGCCGAACTCCGCGGGCAGCCCTGATTGTACTGTCCCCTCCCCCTTCTTAAAGCCAGAGCTGCCGCCCAACCCCAGCGAACCCTTGTGCCGAGCCTCAGCACTCCGGCTCCTTCTCCAACTGTTCTCCACGCACCCTGGGATTGCGTTACCAAAGTGTTCTTGCTCCCAAGAGTTCTTCCTGGTCCAAGGGAGCCGGCCTGCTGTCCTGTTAGTCTCCGGACGGGTTAAGCCTAGGAGGCAATAAAACGTAGCCTTCCACCCTAGACACCCGAGAGGGAAGAGGAGGGCGATATCACTACGCACAATAGCTGCAGTAGCCCGGCGCTTCCCTACGGAAACTGGGGAGCCGCCGGCGCCCTGGGACTCCAGCTGGAAAGCGTGGCGGCCTGGGAGATGTAGTCTTTCCGTTTCTCGTCCCATGACTCCTCCCTGCGATCTCAGCACCACTCAGCCAGGGCGGCGGCTCTCAAAGCAAGACTTTCCCAGCCTGCCCCAGGTTCATTCCTCAAGCCCAGCCTCGAGGGGCAAGTGCGCTGCTCTGGAGCTTCTAAGTGGAAAGTTTCCAAAAAGAGCGAGAGAACAGGGAGGCATCAATGGTGGGAGGCCATCTCTCACTTCCCATTACTTGGCTGTATTTTTTTTTCCCTTGCTCTTTCCACCCTCCCTCTGAGGAAGCAAGTTCTTTTCCTCTTCCCTTGCCCATTTTTCCTGGTTCTAGTGTTCTAATCCCCATGAGCCTTAGACCTGAACAACCTGAAGGGTTGAGTGCTACTCTAGCATCTCATTGTTACGCTCAGAAATCCCCTGCCAAAGGAAAGACCATACTTAGGAGTTCACTGTTTTCTGAATAGGACCTCAGAATATGGTTTTGTGACTCAACTCACTGTATAGGTTTTTCATTAAAGCACATGATTTTCAATGTGTAAGTGGAAAATCTAAGAAGAGGTTGTTATAAATTGTCTTACAGCTTACCCAAGAGATCTCTTGTTCATTGTCCAAGGTAGAACTGAGGCCACTGTTACAGGCCAATGCCTTGAGATCAAAAGTAGTTACGTGTTGGAAAATCATGTGTACATGGGCAAAAGGATCCATTTTTATTTTGAAGAAGTGTTTAGATTACATTGCCCTGTGATGAAAGCCAGGAAAAGCCAGAACTGAAGAGAGTTGTAAATAGAGTAATAATGACCAAGCCACCTGTATTGCTGTTCTATTTCTTATAGTTCTATCTTATCTTATGGTTCCGGAAGTCAGAAATCAGAAATGGACCTCACTGGGTCAAAACCAAGATGTCAGAGGGCTGTTTTCCCTTCTGGAGGCTCTAGGAAAGAATTCACTTCCTTGCCTTTTCCAGCTTCTAGAAGCTGTCCACATTCCTGGGCTCATAGCCTCCTTCCTCCATCTTCAAAGGCAGTAATGGCTGATCAAGCCTTTCTCCCACTGCATTGCTCTGAAACTGACTCTCCTGCCTCCCTCTTTCACTTATAAGAACCAACCAAATAACACAGGATTATCTCCCCATCTCAAGATCCTTAACTTAATCACATCCACAAAGTTGTTGTTGTTGTTGTCCTTACCCTGTAAGGTAACATATTCACAAGTTCCAAAGATTAGGACATGGGCATATTTGGCAGGAACATTCTTCTGTCCGCAAACCTATAATCCTATAAACCCACTTCATTAATCCTCAAAACAATCCTATGAGGTTAGTATTATTATTATTATACCCATTTAAAGATACCTGAGTTGAAGAGAAGTTAACTGACTTGCCCAAAGACACACAGCTAGTTAAGTGACAGTTTTTGAACTTGAGCTTAACCTGGCTGGTTCTAGAGGCACTTTTAACCACTGTACTATACCACAGTATAATAGAGTCCAATGAAGAAACACCTTCAGAAAATTAATGAGTAGCCACATCCCAGCGAAGGATTTTATTTCCTACTCCTTTTACCTTCATGAGAAAATGCCAGAAATGGGCTTTAAAAACACCAATGCACATACTAAAGAAGGTGCCCACTAAAGAGTATATGGTCTCTCATTCTACCAAGGTTCCTTATAGCATTCATTCACTAATTTGACAAGAATTTATTGCATATCTGCTATAACAAAGTCTGTACCTGGTTTCATCACTATAATCAATACCATTGATATTACTGATGTTAGGTACACTCATGCTTGTCTAACTTCCTATATTCAAAGTGTTTGTATAGTCTTCTGTTTTATCCTTTATCCAGACAATGAGGCTAAAGTGCAGAGGAAAACAAATGCCCTGTATCAAATACCAGATAAGAAAGAGGGTTAAAATTAGAATTCAGTCCTTCAAATATTAGCTGCGTTAATTGAGCATTATCCTAGAAGCTTTTCACAGATTATAACTCACCCTCACAACAACCCTAAAGGATGGGGATCTTCAAACTTTTATCCACATAACCCCTAGAAGAATTTTGAGAAGCTATGTACTACCTCACATATTTTTAGGTTGACATCTAAATTTTTTCATCATGTTTAAATAGTTGCAAAAGGTATAATATCTACCATACTATACATATGGACAACTTAAAATAAAACTGTTATATTACACTTTCATTGGAGGGCATCTGGGTGGCTCAGTCGGTTGAGCAGCCAACGTCGACTCAGGTCATGATCGCATGGTTTGTGAGTTTGAGCCCCGCGTCGGGCTCTGGGTGACAGCTGAGCCTGGAGCCTGCTTCTGATTCTGTGTCTCCCTCTCTCTCTGCCCCTCCCCGACTCATGCTCTGTCTCTCTGTGTCTCAGAAATAAATAAACATTAAAAAAAATTAAAGGTTTTCATTGGTTTCTAAATACCAGAGCAATTTGATGCCTACTATCAAACATTAAACAGGAAAGTGTAAACTTTCCTTTAACCTTCAGAAAACTTACATTGTTTCTTTTTCTTCTTGAAATCAAATGTCCATTGCATTCTCCGCACAGAATTGTATTACAATATATTTTTATACTTGAAAGTCTCCTATTGATCACCATATTGAATTTCTCTGCAAAACAGACATGTCCATAAATAGATATTGAATTATTTTTATTTCCTTGTGATCATAGGCTCCAAGTATAAAAAGTTTTCTAGACTGAGTTACAATTGCTATTGTTATTCATACACAATACATAAAAATAGCATGAAATTTTTTTCAGATCTCATAAATTTTATTTGTAGCAACAAACCTCAAATAGCCATTATACAATTAGGGTATCCTGAAAACCAACATCAAGGTCATAAACCCTTCTGTCAATATGAACCATAGAATAGGATTGTGCTGCTATCCTTAGGATATCTTGTTTCATAGATCAAAGATTTGAGTCAATTAATTACCTTACATTATTTGACTGGGTAAGTTTGGTCATTCAGGGTTTTTTTTTTAAGTTTTTTATTTAAATTTCAGTTAGTTACCATACAGTGTAATATTTGGTTTCGGGTATACAATATGGTGATTGAACACTTCCATACAACACCCGGTGCTCCTCATAACAAGTGCCCTCCTTAATGCCTATCACCTATTTAATCCATCATCCAACCCACCTCCCCTCTGATAACCATCATTTTTTTTCTCTGTAATTAAGAGTCTATTTCTTGGTTTGCATCTCTCTCTCTTTTTTTCCATTTGCTTATTTATTTTGTTCCTTAAATTCCACATGAGTGAAATCCTATGGTATTTGTCATTATTAAACATAAAACATAAACTTTATTGGAAATGCAGGTCTTAGTGAGGTGGATGGGGAAGGGGTAATTATAGGGCCTCAAGTTAAAGAAGATTCCTGGACATCAATTTGTGAAATTGTTGCTTTGCTTAGCACCAAGAGTTATTTACACCCTGGGTCAATATACCATAGTAAAATTCTTGACCTTTGAAAAGTATGCTTTCATTTTGAGAAACTTGGAAAAGCAAGTGGGAAAGACAAAGAGAAGATGAGTTCTCAGGCAAATAGTTTTTTTAGGAAACAGTACTAAAGGATGTTGAGTATTTAGAAATTGGTCCTCTTTCGGCTGTCTCAGCTTTGGTAATTCAGGATTACCAAAACTTGGGAGGACCCAAGAGGTCCTTCTGTAGGTAAATGTACAAATAAGCTGTGTTATATCTGTACAATGGAATTTCATTCATTGCTAATAAGAAAGGAGCTATCAAGACAAAAAAATATGAAGGAAACTTAAATGCATATTAGTTAAAGAAACCAATCTGAAAAGGCTACGTACTGTATGAAGCCAACATTATGACATTCTGGAAAAGACACAACTATGAAGACAGTAAAAAGATGGTTTGGGCCAGAGGGTGTGGAAAGGGAGAAGAGAGATGAATAGATGGAGTAAAAGAGGATTTTTAGGGCAGTGAAAATACTATGTATGCTGCTATAATGGTGGATACATGCCATTATACATTTGTCCAAACTCATAGAATGTACAACACCAAGAGTGAACCCTAATGTAAACTGTGGACTTTGGGTGATTATGATGTGTTAATGTAGGTTCATTAACTGTAACAAATGTGCCACTCTGGTGGGAGATGTTGATTAT